TATTTAATTAAATACAAATTATTTAATGCACTAATGCCATTAGTATAAAAAAAGTAGAGTTGAGTGTCATCAACAGTCTACAGCAAAAAAAAAAAGAGAAAAAAAGAATACTTGAGTAGGTACTTTATTTTTGTTTTTCATGTTTATTCCTTATTTATTATTATAAAAGTAACTAAAATATAAAAATAAGGATCTCTTTAGGTTAGATTACATAAAGTAAATAATAATAATATAATAAAAATATTTTACTAGGTATGCATGCGAGCAGCTTGGAGTAGCTCGTGGGTAAGGTAATTCGATAGTGTAATGTGAGCTGAACATTCCACAAGTGATTTACAACTTATAATGACATGAATAATAGTTAGACACAGTTCCAAGGGTAATAAAACAATAAAACTTAATTATCAATAAATGTATACTGTTATGAATTTAAAGCTACTTAGAATATACAAATATAGTTTCATGTTATATTTGAAGTCATTCTGGAAAGAAAAAGGATAATTTAGATTTATTTAGATTTTTTTTTTGGTTATTATGAGGTTGGTCAATTTGATCAACCACTTATAGAGTTAGGGTAGAGAAAATACAAATGAAATATAAAGTTTTACTGAAAACAAACATTGAAATTTATTTAGGAGGTTTTAGAGATTATACAACTGAAAATTGAGATTTTTGAGATGAAGAAAAGTATTCTTAATCTTAACAAGAAAATCACTTTGCATATGGACTATTCAAAACAAATACTCAATATATTCATGGACTAATATGTTTTTGTTTATTACAAATACTTCACTAAAAATATGATTTTTCTATATGTGAAAGACTTGTAATGTTTACTGAAATACTGCCAAATTCTGTGAAGATATACACACCATATTAAAAGTTAGTAGTATCAAATCTAAACAGACTTTGAACAAGAACAAAGAGGTCATGTGGTTGGTCAAATTGACTGAACCTATGTTGAGTGAGTTAAAGTATAATAATCCTACATTATCTTGTCACTTGTACAAACTGAGTAATGCATGATCAACAACTGTCACATATTTATGTAATGTGCTATTATGATTAAAAACATCTTAAATTATTAATCCTAATCTTAACATCATTTAAATAATAGTAAATTATTTATAATGTCATCAAATTCCCAAGTACAAATGTTTTAAATCTAATTTCGTATATAAAAAGAGGAAAACAGAAAGAAAAAGTTTTATCTAACAAACAAAAATCTTACCTTTTAGTTTTTCAATTTCATATTCACTCCTTAGTTTTTCATCTTCAACTTCATCAAGTTTTGCTGTAAACAGATGTTAATAAAGGTAAAACATAATAGTGGAAATAGTTCACCAAATTAAACCTAGAATAAACTTATTACATAGCATCTGTTTATAGGTTTAAAAAATTCACTGTTTGATTTAGTTTTTTTTTGTATGTTGTGAAATTTCCAAAATTCTAATGTGAGGTACTGTTTTGAAAAAATAAATTATAAGTATATCCTTTAATTTTAAAATCAAATTTATATTCATCAGCATATCTAATAAATATACTTTCCTATCAATAACTCAAGGTATTTTATTTATGTGCATTATTTGAATACTATAACTTAACAATAATATTCAATAAGTGAGGATTTCGGTCATCTGAATATCTAGTCAATGTCCTCTCTATACCTAACAATGCTTACTTGATGTATTGTTAAAAATAAAATTTGTATAGCATTCAAACAAATATAATTTAACACTAAAACATTTTCAGGAATAAAATGAATGTCAAAGAAAACTATAACAGTGGTTTGTTCATAAGTCTTTTAAACATTCCACTACATTCCATTTGTTCTTCCTTGCATGAGCTTCATTTGGTCACTTTCCCATGAAAGCATAAATTACTTCATACACTTCATTATACATTTCTGTAAATAATTTATAACAAGCCCTACTCAATGGTTTCTTAACTTCACGTGTAGCTATTTTTGAAGCTGAACCTCATTAGCAGTTGTTCAATCATCTGCTGTAACATTATAAAAAGGTGAGAACCTAGAAGCAGCAATAAGAAAATTTAGAGAAAGAGAAGAAAAATCACATGAGAAACAAAACATTTATAATTATATTCTAAATGGATGATAATTTCATAACAAATATAAACCTATGTTTTGGGATGAAGAGAAAAATTCTGAAAAAATGCTGTGCAGAAATTATAAGTTTGAACTTTTATTTTCTTTGGGAAGTATATTAAATAACTCTTACAAAATCATAAAATAGGAAGTCTAAAATATTTTTGAGAAAACCTATTGAAATACACTTAGAATTATCATTTTTACTTAAATTTTGAAATTTGATTTGCAAGTGTGTACTCAGCACCTGAAAAGTATTCACCAGCATAGAAAGGGTTAAATGTTGATCAAAGATATTAAGTGTACATAAATCACAGAAAAAATATATATATACCATTTTATACTGCTAATTATTCTCTTTAACCTGGTAATACATTTCATATATCTCATTATTAAATCCTTACTGCTATTACCTCAAAAAAATAACTTGGATAGTCTAATATTAAACCAAAAAATAAAGCATCTAAATTTTATACCATCTACTCCAATCTTAATCACTGAATAAACTTTTCCTAAAACAACAACAAAAAGTAATACAAAGTATGAATATGATTTGCTTACTTGTTAGCTCTTGAATCTTGTTTCTACTTTCGACTAAGTCTTTCTCAGACTTCTCTAGGTGGCCTGAAGCAAACACAATTTTTTTTTAGAATAGTGGACTTATTTAAGTGTTTTAATAAATTCTAAAAATATTGATATTGTCATTCCAAGCAGAAACAGATCATTTTGTAGTAGAATATTTAAGTTTTCTGAGTTAAAGTTGATAATTTGCTCAGAACAAATATATAATCCTTACCTATTTACAAACAAAAGATTGTTAACCTTGAAATTTATTTATAAAGAGAGTTTATGCAAAACACTATAAATTTGTCATAAAACAATATTTAGTGAAGAAAACAGGGGGCATAAAATTATTCATACTTTATCTTATAGACATATGTCGGCTAATGCCATGGTATGTCACTGCAAATGTAAGCCATGGATTTATGAGTAACATGTTTAGCACCTGTATTTTTGGTTCACAGTAAATCCAAACCATTCAACCCAAAATGTTGCTACGAGTTTGCTGCTTTAGTGGGTGTTATAATGTAAATATGGTATGAAGGCACTAACTATTATTTCAAAAAGCCAAATTCTGTGTAATTTGACCATATTTTATACATGAGTAAATATCATTTCAGGTAGGTGTGTGTGTGTGTGTGTGTGTGTGTG